TACACGTTTAATTGGTACAACAACGCGACACTCACGTACTACAAAATCGGAGGAGTGTGATGAACATGGCAATCCGATCCGTCGCGCCTAACTTCGAAAATAACAACATATTCTTTGGGTTCAACAACAGGGTATTTAAGTAGATAGATTAATACTTGGAAACTTTATGAGAATAATTATGGCTTTGGTTTATTTCGAATTTTTTTTCTTCTGTTCTTCATTTTTTTTGCAATAAATTATTTGAGAAGTTCTCAGTATTATCATTAATTTTGATTTTGAAAATATTATTTTATAATGGAATAATAGTATTGTATGTTGAATATAGTGGATACGATTGCTTGTTGTCACTTGAATGACAGAGATTGCGAAGTTGGGGGATGATTTATGATCTATTTGTTACTAATGTTTTATGAATGACTGGTTTTTTTTGACAGCTGCAGATAAGATCACAATATTTTCGTAGTGAGATGTAATTGAATTTGATAAGAGCAGAGAATTGAATACTGGTCCATCCTTTGAGATTAGCATATGTAAGTTCAGGCTTTTAAATTGGTAGAAGTATTGCTAATTTATTGGAGATAAGATTTTTGATAGATAGACAGCTTTTTCCGAAGCCAGTTGCAATTAAAGTAACTCTGAAAGAATGTATGAAATATATTTTCTAAAAATCGATCAGGATACATTGAGATGTAAATGTATTTTGGAGCAAATCATTATGTTCTGTGTATGAATCTGTTTGTATCGCCCTTTTAAGGGATAGCGTGGAATGGTGTCGAATGAGTTTTTTTTTGAGAAATTTATTTTATTAGAATGAATAATGGTTGGTATTAGTTTATTAAAATTAATTTGTTTATTTGGGTGAAACATGTTCTACCTGAACACTGAGATATTAGTATTGGTTTATTTCAAAATTTGTCTCGTTTTATTATTCATTTTGATTTTATCTAAGACAAGTAGAGTGAGAATGTATATGCTAGAAATGGTTTTGGTTTATTCAGATTTGTTTCGTCAACTGAGTACCCTATCAAGTGGATAATAAAAAAATCGATTTCTAACCGTTGTAGTTTTAGTTGAGGTAATGTGTGATCCTTTTCTCAATGATCAGAAAAGTTAGTAGAAATAACTGGAGTTGGGTCATTTTGAAGGCTGATGGCAGATGCTGCGAAATGAATTTTAACAGTAGCTTCTCAAAAGAGACACTTTTCAGTTAAATAGTATAGCTATTTAAAATTTAACACCTCCACAACACTTTCGTAGCTATTTAAATAAATGTACACGAATATGAAATTATTTAAGTAGGCAATTCTTTTCTTTTAAAGCTTATGATCTGTTTCCTTATTAGTTGATTGAATATAGAAAATCTATACGTTTCGTTTTTTCGCGAATAGTTACCAAAAACTTTAAATTGCTTTGATAATTCTTTAATAATCCTAGCTTTGAATATTTCATCAAATGATGTAAATTAATAAAGCAAATGTTGCTACGAATCGAGTAGCTATTTAAATAATACTAGATATTTTCATTTAATTTCACAACACTACTCAAGTACAATTAGTAGCTTTGAATAAATAGCTGAAACTTGTTGAAATAGCTGTTTTGGAAAGTATATCGGATAGGTAAATAAATATATGTGAAGTATTTAATTATAGTATAAATATGTTTATACAAGATTTCTATATTAAAAAGTATCGCTTTTAAGAATGAGCCGTATCTAATAGTTGAACCACGCTACTTTCATTTCAAAGGCTAGAAGCTTCAGATATTTCTACTGGTTTACAGACTTTTTAGAAGAGGAGTAAAATAGATTCCGACTGATACTATAGGGATTAAACTGCATGTCCATTTTGAACGATTTGTTTTGATCATTACCTACAGACTGGTTCTACTGTTTTCAAGGTTTAGATTGGTGCCGACGTTGTTATGAGTAGCCAGAGCTGAGATAGTAGTATTACTTTCAAGTCCTAAGCAATAATAATGAGAACATAGGATTTTTAAAATAAATCAATGAAAATAGATGAAAATCAAGTTTTATCAATCACTCAGTATTTTGCTGGATCTTTAAATAAAATTCCTGCCTATTCTATCGATCATTTTCGTCTGATACAAGGAAGACTTGTCTTGTCTAGTAGTCTAAAAATTTTGATATAGTTGAATAACTTATTGATAGATATACTATAAAGAGTATGAAATCAATGTTAACTAATTGAATTGTATATTTAAGTACATGTCACTGAAAGTGTACTAAATTTCGTCAAAATATAGAATAGAATACGTTTGAATAGAATGACTAAAAATATTAAATAATAAATAGTAATCAGTTAGATCATATAAAAAACAAGAGTGTCATCTAACATTGAATAAAACAATCTTTCAGAAGTTTTTATTAATTATTGTCGCATCATCATATTCAACTATTTATATTCTATTTACTTGATATAAACTTAATAAAAATGAAAAGAAATTTTTTTAATTAGTTTACTATGAAGAAATTCATCAAAAGTGCATATCGGAAAAAGTTAAGAATATAGATTCAGTTTTAATATTGTACATTCATCTAGTTTAATCATTTTCCGTTGCAAATGAGAAGTGAAAATATGATCTCTCTAAACTTATGATATATTTGTATTTTTTCTTTTTTAAAAATATAACTATATTTTGTCATATACGTACATAAAAACAATTCATAGATTCTAATGACATTTTAAAGAGTTTATACACTAATCCATGTTTCATTGACACATTTTTTATCTGTTTTATTATTAGCTTCGATTCCATATACCATTGTTACTAATCGTTCAGGCATTGCTGGACACCAAACTTTTACTCCACTAAATATGCAAGATTGTAATGGAAATGTCCATTGTATTGGAGAAGATGTCCAGTTGAATGTTCGATCATAGTCAGTAAGAGTTTTCTTCAGATATGTTATATTTGTTGGATCATCAGGATGAAAATCGTACGTAGGCCATATTTCTACATAACATCGAAATTTTCTATCTATAAATCGAGCATTAGGTGCTACGAAAGTAAAACCTTCTAAGGGAAAATAAGAACGATTTGCATATCCAACAGTTGACCATTGTGGATGAACTTTAAGTTCATAGGCTGATGAAAAATTAATGTCTGCGAATGGAACCAGATATTGTGTGTCTTGTGCTAACATTAAGATATCAATATCATAATCGTGTGGTAATAAACCATCACGTTGTACATAACCAATAAGTGTTCCATATGCTATCCAATACTGTATTTTATGTTCATGAGCAAAATCTGTCCATGCATGAAGTGCTGTGAGTAAACATCGTTGACGAAATCGATCATCAGAATTGCAAATGGGAATATGTTCTAGAGCATTTTCAATAGAATAGTTTGTAGTTTGAGTCAAGTCAATATAAATAGTATTATTTTTCGGATAGTACACAACCATGAATAAGATGAACAATAATACAGTTACATAAATATATTGTAATGAAAATCTTGATGTATTCATTATAGAAATACTTGAATAATTGCCAAAGATTGTTTCTGTTTTGTCTTATTTAGTTCAATATCTAATCCGTTCAGACTAAAATGAAATAATAACAATAATTAATAGAAGTTATTATTAGTATTATTTCACATAAAAAACAACGATAAAAGAATTATCACAGTTACTTGAAATATCAATATTAAGTTTTTCTAAGCTATGACCATTGTAATAACTACTCTAAAAATTAATATAGACTTATAAAACATTATAATTGAATTTTAAGCATAAGAATCTATTTTTCTATACTATCATTCTCGTAAAAATTTAATCCAAATATTTTACATGATATTCACAAGTAAATTTAGACATTGAATTAAATTAGATTTAATAAAGTCATAGATTATACTTGCATATAAATATTAACAATTATTTGAGGAAATATATTTATACTTCATATAGTTTATAAGATTGAATATTATTAGAAATTTAATCAATTCGTCCAATGAAATATCTGTTCTCAATATAAAGCATGCGAAAAATGCATTTGACGATTGTCGTCATTAAAATTGATTCATTTTAATTATTAACTTGAGTAAAATCAGTTTTTTTCCTAATCTTCTTTTTTAAAATGAGTCATAGTTTAAGTTCTGATTAGTTAATAATATCCCAATAAAAAATATAGGTATCGAATAAGAGCTAAAGAACTTTTATAAGATTTTTTAAATAAATAACAAATTTCTTATAAAAGTAGTTATATCTCATAACTTTCGGATTATAAATGTATCATATAAACAGATCATAGACTACAGTTCGAAAAAAAGCAAATGATACAGTGATAAATGACTTTTCCATCATCTGTTACATATATATTCAACTTTTATGTGGTCACAGATGTAAAGGAATTACTGATTATTTAATATATATTATAAAAGATAAATAAATAGCGGATATTATAATTATACTCACGTGTCAATTTAAAAAATAAGCTATTCGTCCAATCATTATTCGATGTAAAATTTGATTACGTAAAAACTCAACGATAAAGATATATAACATATGTTATTCATATGATCGTATTTAATGTTGCTTGTCTATCATTTTATTGTGTTATCGTTAGTTATATTTTGTTCTCTACTCATATACTTTGCGTCATTCATGTTTAACAAAAAAATACGCATCACTACGAATGACGTTATAGTTTGTTTTGATTATAAAACCTACAAAAAAAAAATAACTAATATAATATTGTATCCGACAAAAATATGCTTATCATTTTAAAAGAATAAAACGCGATCTGTTTTAATGAAGTAAAATCTTCGTCATTAGATGGATGGTTCATGTAAAATAAAGTCTCACTAAAACTCTTATTTATTTCATTTAATAAATATAATATAAATTATAATTCCTCTTGTTTTTTTGCTAAAAATATTTGATTTCATACGTCAACTGTAACTTCTTAGTATATATATGCTAGGGTCAAAATTGGAATTGGGTCAAATTTAGAATTTGACCAGACAAAATTGGAATTCCAATATAGACTAGTATTTTTTTTGGACAGAATTAGAATTCAGATGAAAATAAACAAATAAGATTGGAATTTAAAATATATGAATATATGAACTATTTTTATTTTTTATTCAACAAAGTTTTTTTTAATCTTGATAAGTACTTCACAAGTCGAAGTACTTTAGTTTTATTCATCCATATTTTTGCATCCAGCACGTTTCGAATGACCTTTTGTTGAGCAAAATACTTGCATTCTAATATGTACATCTATATTTATACCATTTACCAACACGACATCGTGATAAATTTCTTTTTTTTTTATTTTATTCGTATAGAAAAACATGTCGCTTTATTTGTTTATTTTTATCTGAATTCTAATTTTGTCTGATCAAAACTAGAATTCCAATTTGGATCCCAACATATATATTGCTTTCGAAACAGACAAAAATCCATGATACTGATTGCAAGCATTTTCTAATATGTCTAATTGAATCAATTAATGAATCTTAGTTTTTGACTTTATCTTATAGAATATTACTAATAGCTGCACAATGAAATCAGAATTATTTGATAGTCATTGATATAATCTTGTAACTTTTATGAAATTCACCTTCTATTACGTCATTAATTAATGATATACATGTAGTCTAGTGTTTATTTCCTGTTTACAAATATTTTATTCGAAAACGAACGTAAAATGAATAATAAAATTAAACATGGTATGATTACCGATAGTCATGATACGATATACTGACTTCATTTTTTTCTTTCTTGTAGATACAAAAAACATGATTATCATTTTTCTCTAATATCTATGGTTCCAGTGACGAGCTAGAATAAAGATATTATATCTATTAGTTTTAGAAAAGTTTTCCAATAATCACAAATAATGTATTGCGAAATAAGGAGTTTTCTACTATCGAATATCACCTATCAGTATTGATTCTTCGATAGAATATGCTATTCAATCACGAAATAATACACACAATATCCATTTGATGTATATTTTCATTTTATTTTATTTTCTTATGAATATAATACATTCACCTGGTAACTCAAGATAATAGAATTTTGTCGTTTAAAATAGATGCTTAAAATATTTCAATGATAAGTAATCATAAAGTTAGTAAATAGATAAGCATTTTTGTATATTTATTATTGATATATACTTTTTTTTTCAAAACCTTATCGCTAATGATAAAGAATTGTTTGTCTGGCAGTGTTATAATCATATCTCTTTTTGAAAGTGTTAGAAACACATTGTCTTAACGATGAATATACTGAAATTCATCGTATTACTTTTTGCCATATATTTTACAAGCAGTATGTATTTAATATATAAAATTTTATATATATATAATAGATATATTCGAAATTTATAGGTGATGGAACACCTCGATTTGCTAATTATATTCAAGATCATATGGTATTACAACGAGCTCCTCAACGAGCTGTTATATGGGGTTTTGGTGATGCTAGTAAATTAACGACATTACGAATGAATAATAAAATCTATGCTACCATGAGTCGAGCTGAACCAGCAAATGATTTAGCTGAAAGTATTTGGTCAATTACATTAGAACCAGTTTCTGAAGAAGGACCGTTTGATATTCAAGTTTCACAACCATTAGCAAATGGTACACTTGTTACTATTACTATTCATGATGTATTATTCGGTGATGTTTGGATATGTTCTGGACAATCAAATATGCAAATGGCAGTAATAGATATATTTAATGCAACAGAAGAAATTAATAATGCTGGCAATTATCCTAAAATTCGAGTATTTACTGCTGCATTAAAACCATCTGATACTCCTATAGAAGAATTACTTGGTATTGTTGAGAATTGGTCTGTTGCATCTTCACAAAGTATTGGTGGACCATCATTTACGTATATGTCAGCTGTATGTTGGCTTTATGGTCGTGCGGTTCATGAAGCATTAGGTGGTCGACCAATTGGACTTATAGCCACTAGTTGGGGTGGTACAGCTATTGAACTTTGGATGCCGCCCGAAGCTTTACATGAGTGTGGAATTTCATCGTAAGTTTTAAAAAAGAAATTTTTCTTTTATATTTCTACGTTTATATATAGAAACGTTGAAGTACCATTACAACCTTATGGTCAACCTATGAATGAAATATCACTTAGCAATTCCAATCTATTCAATGCAATGATTTATCCATTTACACGTATGGTTGTTTATGGTGCTATTTGGTATCAAGGTAATAACGAATTTAAAAATAAATTTATTATTTATTTATTTATTTATTTAGGTGAAGCAAATGCTGGTTATAATACAGAAAAATATGCTTGTACATTTTCAAAAATGATTCAATCTTGGAGACAAACATGGAATCAACGTACAAATCAGATAACAGATATACAATTTCCATTTGGTTTTGTTCAAGTAAGTTCTATCATTTAAATTGTCAATAAAAATAATCGTATACATCTACATAGTTATCAACAAATACAAATGATAGTAGAGTAGTTGGCAATTTTCCAATTATTCGATGGCACCAAACATTTGATGTTGGTTATGTACCTAATAATGTTGTTCCTAAAGTATTTATGGCAGTTGCTTTAGATTTACGTGATGATCCTAATAAGTAAATTTAATTGAAGAAATGAGAATAAAACAATTATACCTATCTACTTTTAGTATTCATCCTCGAACTAAACATGATGTTGGCTATCGTCTATCTCGTGCAGGTTTAGCTATTGCTTATAATCAACCAGTAGAATATCAAGGTCCAATTGTATCTAATGTAGTTTATGCAAGTGGTAGTCGAACTGTGAATATTACTTATACTGGTGTACAAAATATTGAATTACGAAATCCAAATGGATTTGAAGTTTGTTGTCAAGGTTCTCGATGTAGTGATGATAGTCTATGGGTACCGGCTACTGTATCTGCTAAAAATGTCTTAACTATTACATTAATTGTATCAAGTTCATGTGTTGGACAACAACTCTATGGTCTTCGTTATTTATGGCGTGAAACACCATGTGAATTTAAACAAGCAGCTCTGTATAGTTTTACAGATCCGAATTTACCTTCTCCACCATATATGAAATTATTTTAATTATCATCAGAAACTTTAATAATTTTTTCTATAAATTAAAATTAATATTTTGATTTCGTTGTCATTTCTTAAATAAATTTACATTAGTTTTTAACATTAAAAATACCCCCTGGATATTAATCTTCTCTTTTTACTAATCTTTACAAACTAGAATAATAATAGGACATATGATAACTATACGCACATGATCTTGAGTACTTATTTCTTGTTATTTTATATAGACATTTAACTAGATCATGAAAAATATAAATATTGATTACTGTAAAAGAAGATTATAATACATAGGACATAGTTTTGATGATGATGATTAATCGTATATGTACAATATTTACATGGGCAGCTGTATTTGAATTATCATCAGGAAAAGGCGGAATTCGATTATTAATGAGCTGAATATCTTGTTTACGAATACATCTTTAAATAAAAGTGCTGATAAAGAATAATTATCAAATATTTTGTTATATTTCTCGTACAAATTACTATGAAATAAACATCGTAACGGAATATAGATAGTCAAAGAGATTAATCGTTAGACATTATCGAAAGAATTTTGAGCTAATCTATAGTTTTTTTTTCTCTAAATAAATATCTTATTCTAAAGAAAATAATTTCTTCAACAGACGATAACAAGATCATGTCGAGAGACTAATCCACGATCTTCCGATCCGTCAACATTGATGACGTAGATCATACTTACTAGATGAGAAAGATAGAAAATGCAAAACTCATATGATAAATCCGACGACATCTATATAGATAGAAAAGAAGAAAAAGATTTCAAGTACAAATTCCAATAACAAATAATAAGAAACAATATGGCGGATAGATAGAAAAAGATTTTTATTTATTTGTTAATAAGAAGTATATTGATTATGAAAAATTAAAAAAACCAAACTAACACCTAAGAATATATAATTCAATATGCATTTTTAGAATGGAAATATTTCGAAATGATAGAACTAAGTTGATGCAGATAATAAAATTAAAATTTTTCACTATCTGTATTCAGAAATAACAAAATATGTATTAGAATATTTAGTGAACTTTTAAATCA